GAAATTTCAATATCCCAACATTTGAAATTACCAAATAAATATCTTTCGACATTTATATATTTTTTAAGACAATTACTATCACGTAAAATATTTCTCACAAAAAAATTAAATATTAAAAGTTTATGACGTAAAAAGTCTACAATTACACGATCAAAGTTCGGAAGAAATGTAAATTATTATTACAAATCGTGTAATCGTACACAGACATCACTAATAGATAAAATTCTTTTTAAAGATGTTTTCGTATTATCGAAAATACATTTACTTTACTATTACTCGGACTACTAATATATTTCGCAATATTGTTCTGTTTGTACGGATTTCTAATCGTCGCAGTAAGTTTTCAAAAACTTCTAATTTTTTTATTTGAAATAAAATTGAAACTAAAAATAAAACTTGTAATAAATATGTTGTTAAGTCAAAAATATATATTGATATGACCAGAAAAAGATTTTTATATAAAATAAAGGTACTTTTTCAGAAATTATATTAAAAAATCAATGTTATTTGTTTTTTGCAGTAACATATAATTAATAATACAGGAATTTGTAATGCTGCTTAACTAATTTTTTAGATACTTACAGAAGGAAAAAAGATGTCAATGATGCGCTTTATATACCTCATATCTGTTGCGATAAATCTTTGTGGGCACATGTGTCTGTTTTGTGCAGTGGGTGAGATTTTGGTAGCAAAAGTAAGTATAAGTATACTAGGAACACATAGCATATATAAACATAGAAAAGTATTTTATATAATGTCACCTATGAAGTGCGAAGCTATATACCATGCAGCTTATGAGCACGAATGGTACAAACTGAAGCCAAAAAAAGCAAAGATTTTGCTTCTAATAATGATTCGAGCTAACAAGCCTCTTTATATTACGGCTGGGAAAATATTTCCTATGACAATGTCGACGTTTTGTAACGTGAGTGATTTATCTATTTTATCATACTAATTAATGGTTATTATGCTAAATGTTTTGTCTTTTTAATTTCTTTTTAAAAATATATTAATTCTAAAAATATCTTATTATTAAATAAATAATTAATTCATTGTAATAAAAAAGGGATCATAAATTGCAATAAATTATAAATTATACTGACATAGGTTTATATTTTTCTTGTAGTAATAATAACATATGGCGTTCGTATTGCGTCTATTCTTATATTGACAATTTAAGGTCTTAATATTTATTATATATGTTTTATGCGTTACAGTTGATAAAAACATCAGCCGGTTACATATCGTTTCTATTCGCCATGCAAGGTTAAAAATCAATCATTTTTATCTTTATATCTAACCAACAGAAGAAAGATGTAAGAAATATAATAACATTATTTTAAACATATGTACATATATTTAACATAATATTATTGTGAGAATATTCGGAATTAAAATTTACTTCAATTTATGGTGTATTCGGGATGCCTGAGTATAAAACTATACAGGGTATACTGTATACTACATTTATTCAGTAATCTCAAAAACAACACAAACTTGTGCACATGTAAGGCATATACCGATTCCAACTCGAGAACAATTAGACAAAGCATCTACGACTAATATAAAGGTCGTTCCGTGGGAAGGACGAGCGAAATCTAAGCGGACATAGGTATAAGCGGATCCATTGGTTTTCCTGGGGGTATCCATCAAGTGTTTCCTTAAACTAGCGGCATGTTATTTCTAATTAACATGACATTCCTAGTTGACAGTGTCACATTTACTTACGTATGTTTCTATGGCTTTGTCCATTCCACCACCAAAAGTAGCTACAATCTGTCGCTTCCATTTTAATTATCCCTGGATGAGCATTATTGTGTAACATCTGTGGTACTGATTCTTTAGCATTTAGCACATTCTGGTGTTACAACACGCGATCCCCATAAAACACAACCCTTATACGCAGATAACTTTGTTTGACGTATTATTAAAAAAAAGGTGCGAAACGATATTCTTGTCATTCCGCTGGAAAATCTTGAAGCAATCATCGACGTACTCTAGATAAATAAATGTACTGGATCGACTCGTGTACATTTTCCTATGTCCTTGTGTTTAATAGTAATAATAGTATGTTCTGCATTGATTTCAATTTTTATTTCTCCTAAAGGTAAAATACTGATATCCTGCAGCGTTTCCATGAGCAATCGATTTAATGCATTTGCGTTTACCTGTCTTCTTCCTCACCGATATTCGAGTCTATATGTACTTCATTATATAACATTGCCTCACATTATTGAAATGCTAAAAATGGAACGGCAGTTAAGAGTTACTGCTGAGTAATTATTTAATATCAATTAAAAATTATTTTAAATAACAATAATTAAATTTAATGTAGTTTAGCATATAAGTTATTACGTAATATCAAAAAGAAAAGAAAGAAAAAATATATGTGTATTAATGATATAATATCTAAAAATATTTTAGGTATAGATTATTTAATTTGTCAAAATTTTTTAAAATCGCAGATATATTTTTCTAAATTAAAATCAAAGTTTGAACAATTATTGAAGCTAACAATGAGTCAAAAGCTGTCAAAAAAGTTACAAAAAGCATAAATAAATATATGGTGCGCTAGTAATATTACTTTACAACATTATATCTCATTACACGTTGCTTTGATAAAAAATAGTTTGATAAGTACATTGACAAGAAAATTATTACAAAAAATGCGGAAAATAGTTTCTTTATTAATAAAATAAAATACGCATAACAGTGATACCTTTTTTTACAATTTTCTAAAAAGAATTATACCTACGTCTTGCTGTATTTTTTGCAGTTACTATATTCTATTGCGTTCAAAATATGTATATTATAAAATATATGAAACATGGTATCAATCTCTTTCTCCTAAGTATGTAAGGATAATCAATATTGCACTCATCACCGTTCCACGTAAGACACTAACGTTATAGCCTCTGTCGAGTGTGAGAGGTACAACCTTCGAATGGCAGGTATAACCCCAGAATGCGCATGCTTCAGTGTTGCTTGAAATACAGAGAAGGGATATGAGAGAAGAATAATATTAAAATTCTAGATCCTACTTGCGTGAAAACTTTTGCAGGCCTCTTGCGTGCCGCCTGTAACATCATGTATTACGCACAACTTCATAAACTTCAGATGCATGAAGATCAGGGACGGCATACTCCGATTTTCGAAACAAAAAAAAAAGATAAGAAACGAAGAACTTTCAAATGGCCTTATTCAAAACAAAATTATTTATACTCGCTACAAATACTCGCAATTGTCACATTCATAGAAAAGTAATATCATAAAAAAATTTTTAATACGACTATAGTCAAAATTGACATCTTTTCTTGTTATTACACTGAGGGAAAAATTTTGTTGAATCAACAAAACAATTTTGCTTGGCAACATACAATCTTCCGGTTTTATTAAATCAACAAAATTTAAAAAAAAAATAATTATTTTTCTCAGTGTAGCTGATCCAATTTATTATGGTATTCTACGTGTGCAGTATCAATATAATAGATTAATTTACGCATTGTTGAGTTTATATCAGTTTGACTACTTTTCGACGAAATTACATTCAGCTGGTAATTACAACATATGTATATAAAGTTTATAGCGCGGCCCTGTTACACATCGCTTCGCGTTCATTCATTCTCCCTCCATTTTCACTTTTTGTGTGAGATCGTTGCACCTGACGATTACAA